AAGTTTTGGTACAATTGTTATTAAAAAATGAAGCAAAAGAGAAGACCTATGAATTGATAAGGCAATATTAAAACTCTTACATTGTTGTAGTCATAAATAATATTTCTAAATAGTTTATATTGTTTTAACTTTCTGTTTTTTTATAATTTTATTTAATTAATATTATGTTCAAGATGTTCAAGTTGTATAGTTTGTTTTGATGAAGACTTCTTATTCATAGAATTGTTTGAGATTTAAATAGAAAATACTAACATGTTTTAGTTCTCAATTTTTAATTGTGTATTTTAATGAGGGTAGCTGTTCATGTGATATGCATTTATTTCTTGGTGTTATTCCTGGAATACATTTTTTCACCACATTGTGGTATTCTGTTTTTGTGTTCTTGTTTAATTTAAATGCATTACATTGCTTCACAGCCAGGGTTCTCAATAATGCGTTACAAAGTAACGCATCACCGACGTGGAACCACATTTTTCAGTAACAAGTAATGTAACGCGTTGGTATTTCAAATCCAATAATCAGATTACAGTTACTTTTCAAAAACACTTTGCGTTACTATCTTCTTTTGTTATTTAATAGGCCTCTCATGATAAAGATTTTGCTGGGCAATTAATTGTCTAAAAATTATTGTGATAAACGATAATATTGTTTGAAGACCTTTTTACATTGATTTAATGGAAATTACATAATAATACATGCGATTTCCTGTCAAAGATAGATACACTTTACTTTCAAAAGACATACTGGGACTGATACACAAAATAAATAAAACAACCATAACCAAATATAAAATAGATTCTCAGTCTCCATTAACAATAAATGTATTTGAATAAAAACTATACAACATGAAGCCAAAGTGGAAATAAATACTGCATTCAACCAAAAGAGTGCAGATTATGAGGTCTGTATAGTTTATTGCTCTTCAGTAATAATTAGATTTAAATAGAGAAGAATCCGACTGCCTGATGCAATAGTTCAAACTACAAGATTTTTTAACCTCAACGACAATCTTAGAACATTATTCGTTATGAGATTTTCACTTGTGTTGTGTATTATGGTAGATCGTTGTTCCTGCTTTGATGTAAATCAGTGATTTATCCAGACTTGGAGATTAACACATTCTGTTTAATATGACTGGTAGCCAATCTTAAAGTGCGGATTCTCCTCCTGTTTTCTGAGAGGAAACACGAAGGGAATCCTGAACAGTTGACACGGTGCAACCCGAAGTCCAGCAGACATCGGAGATGATATGTGGAAACATGAATGTTTCTTCAACATTTCGTGCAAAGAAAATATAAATAACTAGGGGAGTAGTTGGAGCGAAATGTCTACCAGAAAACCCGGTAACTTTTCAGCTGTTCTTTGTTAACATGACATAAATAGGTTCTAATAATTTTCATTCAGTCAGACTGACACTAGCCAAATGCATTGCAGGTAATTGTAGTAAGGAATTGATTAATGCCTGGTTTCAAAGTTAGTGAACTGGACTTATCATTTTGTGTCCATTGTTGGACACAACACGGTTTCAATCAAACCGTTATAGTGAGGATTTCTGTCGGCTAATGTGTCTCTCAGGTTTTGATAAAGGGCCGACAATAGGCGACATAAGATCGTGCAGCACGCGCTGGGCATTACACTAAGAAATAAGGAAGGGAGGGTCAGTGGAGAGCACCGGAGTTTAGCCTTTTTTCATTCTGTGTCATCAACAGTAAGAGAAAAAGACAGGAAGAAACGATATAGCCAATAATTGAAATAAGGTTGATAATTTTATTGTATTGTGGGATTAATAGATTTATCGTTTATCGTGACAGGTCAATTATTTAATTGTTTTCCCTCTACGTCCCTTGTTGTGTGACCGACAATATAATGTGACAATATCAGCGACAGTCAGTTTTCACATATTTGATATGTTACTATCTTCTTAAAGGATTTAATTTTTTTTCTTTCTCAAGTTTTAAGTTATCTTGAGATGTTTTGTTTATTTTAAACTTTTGTTCACAAACTAAGCATGTGTAGCATTAACCATTTACAGTGATTGAATAGTTTTCATATTAGATTTTTAATAGCTTTTATTATTTATTGTGCTGTTGAGTTAAGTATTAGTTTTCATTTTAAAATATTTTTAATAGTTCATCTTTTTTTTTCTTACAGTACCATTGCAGAGATACAGATGTATCTCGGGAAGCCCTGGAACGGAGTGTCCATGAGGCCTTCCAGGGATCTGGAGGCCATAGAAAAACGTGGGAGGCAGCTGAGGGCAGCTGAACAAAAATTGAAATACCTACAAAAGCAATTGGAGGATGAAAAAAAACAGAAATTATCATCTAAAAAAAAAAGAAAAGCTTTACCAAGACCAACTGGCTGCTGCTCAGCAGAAAATAGAGGACTTGGAAGACTGTGCTGTGTTTTATAGTGATGGTAGGCATATTTATAGTACATCATGTTCATTTTAGCTTTTATTTCTCTTTTATATTGTAATCTTAATTAACATATGATACAATGGTATTTCATGAGGTGTTTGTAGTGTATACAGAAAGTATTTTTTTGTTGTTGGATTCTTTATTATTTTAGTTCATCTTACAAATACATTGTTAATAAAAGATCAACTTTTGATTAAAAAAAATTATATTTGAAACTAAAATTGAGCTTCACAATATAAGGACATTCATTCACTAATTTAGATTTTAAATAACGATTTTATGAATTTTACCCCCTTTCTAATCAGCATGTACTAGGTATCCCTTCATATTTGTTTCAAGCAGAGTTGTTTGTATTTGTTTCTGTGAAGCTGCTTATTTCAGCATTATAGTCTTCTCTATTTTCTACCACAATTTGAGAGACAATATTTTTAATTTCAAAGAAGGATTACATTTCTTTGTTTTTTTTAAATGTTTAATGTTTGTTTGTAATTGTAAAAATATTTTGAATTGGTATATGTGTTTTGATGTTGTTTTTTTATGTTAAAATCTTTCAGATAAAAGGGATGCCATCACTCAAACAGAGGACAGTGAAGATGAGGCACAGCACATGAGCTGGCAAGAAAATGATGCAACTGAAGATTAATTTCCTTTTTTGAAGTTTATAAGTGTTTTTAAGTTATAAGTAGTTTATAAGTTTCTAAGTATATGTTGAGTTCATATTTGTAAGATTTAAATTTTTGTTTGTTTTTCAAAAGTTTATTAATAAAGAGAAGTTATTGTATTGTCAATTCATTTATTTCACTTTTTTTCATGATAAAAGAAATTTACCCCTCTCGGGTTAAATGTAGTTTAATGTGAAGTTGAGTTAAATTTTTAGAGAAGGACCAAGTGGGATATTAATAGAGTTTGGTATAAATGTTCATTTCACACAACTGTTTTGTGGTTTTTCACGGAGCTCAGTTGTAAGGTGAGATTTTACTTATTTGGTTTCTAGTTTTACCGTTTTAACATGGATGGTAGGTAAAGAGTGGTATGGACAACACAAAGAACTAACTGGGTTAAGTAAGGAGCTGTTGGAGAGAGGGAGGAGTATTACGTTGCAGGAACATTCTCAGCAAGTGGAAGATTGATAATTGACATAGAAAGGATACATCCAAGATAACATACATATACTGGCCAGTACAACAAATACTTGCTTATTTACTAAACCAGTTCAAATATATGAATTATATATGTAGAAATAATTTTCTTACTCACCTGTGATGTCTAATTTTATATCAATTATCAATTTTTTCCTGTTAACTGTAAATCCCTAACAAAAGTATCACTGCTAGAGATCCTCCAATTATGTATGAACAATAGGTAGTATAAATTTAAAGAAAAAAATGTAATAACAGAATTTCAACATAGAATCCTTAAAATTATGTTACTAAATTACACCAAGTAAAAGTAATAAAAGATTATAAGCTGTTATTAGGTTTTATAACGTTTTTTTTTTTAAATCGAGTAATGTTAATTAAATTATGAGTTGTTGAAATAGCTAATAAAATTGAGTGATTAGAATTAGGTAAAATATAAATGCTGTGCTTGTTCTACAACTAAATAGTTGCATCAAAAAGTTAGAAAAGTTATCTTTAGTTTCTTACAGTATTGTTAAAGTTAGAGATGTTATCTTTACTGCTTTTCTTTCCTATTCCCAAATATATTGGGATGTGTGAATGACAGACATTAAGTTATAAACTTTTTATAACAATGCTTTATAAAGGTCGGTATTTTATACCCTACATTCAATTTTGTGGGATGTTCTGAGTTATTTCAGCAACAACTCAAAATTCCTTTTAAGATATCTCCAAATGAATTAGAGATATCTTTAATTAGATGCCTTTACCACTTAAAATATTTTAAATTAATTACCTTCACATACGTTAAATTATGATAATCGATGTGTATCCTCTCAAATAGATGCAGTGACATCATTTAATATATCTTTACAGTAACTTTCAGCCGTCAAAATGTAATTTAAGATGTCATAAATGATTATTTTTAATAAAGACAATGTACATTTAGATAAATTCATTTACATTAAAAATAGTTGAAATGTAGTTTTCTCAGTGAAGTGCATTTTTAAATAATTATAATGTAATTACGGACAGCAGGACTAATCTGTATTGATGTTAAAATTGCTTAGTGTATATTACATTCTGCAGGCAACTTTTTGGGGATCTCAACATAGAGGATGTTACACTTCATCCTTGAATTAGATTTCTAACATTTTAATAATAAGTAGCTGGTAGTAGGTTGGAGATATCTTAAATAAAAATCTAGTTTTCTTTACTGAACATAGATTTTTAGATATCTAGAATTCAATTACGGATACTCAGACGATAGATAATAAATGTTAAATCAGCCTGCCATAGCCATATACGTATTTATGTTTATGTTGTATGGCACGTCTCAATACGTAATACGCAGTGACGTCAGCAAATATTGGTTGGCTTGTTTTAATTTTTTAAATCTGATTGGTTGGTTGACATCTTGAACGTTCTGTACGCTGAGATTTCAATCAGTCTTTCACAAACTGTTGGAGTGAATTGCTCGTGAGAGATTTCACATCAAGTTTGAAACCAGGAGACTGACTGCTGTCAAGCCTTTTCCGTTCGACGTAAGTTTTTGCATATATCTGATAAAGATGTTATGAATGTGACTTTCTTAAAATAGCGCTATATTGCGGTACTAATTTAAACGAATGCATAAACATGACGTAAGTTCAGGCTATGTACCTAATATCTTCTACTGATATTAAATATAAGTTTTGAACACGTGCTAAACGTCGGTTAGGTTTCAACCAGAGATGTTATTGAGGGTCTTGAGCTAAATTCTGTTCATCTGTGTCGGGAGCGCGCTCCAGACACAGGCGGGTTTGTTCAAATTTCTAGTTTTAAATTTTAATCACAAGTTCAGGGGTTTTTTATAGCCTTTTTTCTCATTGTTAATCGTTATTCTACTGTTAGTTCTCTCTGTGGGGCCTCTAGTGCTTCAAGTATTCAAATCGCTCCGTGCTCGTGCTCGTAGTTCTGCACAGACTTTAGGCGGTTAGCTCCTTAAGGTTGTTAGCTCGTACTAGCAGCTGCTAGCACGATCATCAGACTGTTAGCTCGTGCTCGCAGCTAACAGCCTGAACAGTCTTCAGGCTGTTAGCTGCTGTGTTTTACGGCTTTTACAAAATATCTGAATTAAAAGAAAACGGAGAGTATGTAGTTGTTTTAAATGTTGTTTTCCTAAATTAGAACAAGACACATCTCAAAGAGAACTGCTTATTCACTTTTTCATTGTAGATTTCATTGGTATTTATCTATATAACAGTAACAGTCTTTTCATTTCTTTTAAAGTCTCTTGTAAATGTAATATTAAGTCGCGGATTGCTCATTTTTCGTCTAGTATTTGAACGTGAAGTTACTTGTTTGGGCCTGAAAATAAGCATAGACTCATTAAATCACAGAATTTATCTGATTTCCAGATGCCTCGTCAAAAGTCCCATCGCCGGTCTGAAGCTGGAAAGAAACGAATGGCCGCCGCTCAGACTCTGCGTTTAGGGACATCAAGGCCTTCCAACGACTTTGTTCCACGTCAGTTTTTAGTTTAATTACATTTCTTTAAATTGAATGTCTTATTTGGATTTCAAATGAAATATCCAGAGTTCACAGTCTATATTTAAATAATTTTTCTTTCTTTTTTGCATTTCAATAGGTCATGGTACCGGCTGGCGCCATACTGTGAGGCCGTGGCCAGCTAGTGAAGTGACCAACCACTGTCACAAGCTGGTCATTCCAGAGGGACTGCCCGATAAGAAAGTAAGTAAAATCAGCAATGGTTTCAAATAGAATATATAGGTTTAGTTATTTTGCTGTGTTTTTTCTATTTTAGTTCGTTCTTCTGATCGGAGAATCCCATCTGAGATCGTTTGCGGACAACATTGTTGAGATGGCAAGCGGCTGCATCCAGTTTGGGTTCATGTCCACTCCTGGTGCTTGCGCAGCTGACTTGCGTCTCGAGGTGTTAAATGCAGTTGTACCGCGGGAGCCTGATGCTGTCTGCGTCATGGCTCCATCAAATAACCTTACGGCCAGCCGTCACCCAGAAGAAGCCGGAGAGGAATTTGAGAGATACCTCAAGGCTGTCTGTAGCTGTTGGCCGAAGGTACTGTAATCACTGTGGTTCATGAAAACCAGAGGTTCTCAATGCTGTTTCACAGAAACTGCTGCCTTGCATGTTTTAGGTATTTCCCTTCAGACATACATATAAAACATGCAGAGCAATGGTCACTGAGGACTGTAATCGAGAAACAGTGATATAAACATCAATTTCTTAATAGGTTCGTACGTAATGTAAATTTCTAAATTTATTTTTATAGGTTTTTTGTACCGGCTTCGTTCCTCGTTTGACCGAGTCCAGAGAGAAGCAGAACTTGTTTCAACAAGAATTCCACCGCAGGTCGGCAAAGCTAGGTAGGTATTAAAATATTTGTTATTATGTTCTTGTTTGGTAAATGTATTGCAGCTCTTTTTATGTTATCTTTTCATGAGTATTTGAAAATGTAATGTAATTTTTTCATGATGTTTTCAGGGATTCCGTATTATCCTCTTGCTGACTACTTCTCTCTGAACCGTCTTCATCTGTGGTGCCGCGATGGCGTGAGTACTTCTTCATTTCAAACACACTAAGGAACAATTTTGCATTTATATGAAATGTTGACCTTATCTCTGATTATTGTTAATATGTCCAGATCCACCTCAGTGATGACCACGGAATGCACATCTTGAAGCAACTGATTTGGGTGTTTTCCTATCAGTTCATGGAGTTGTCAGCACCACAGCCACTGGTGCAAAGTCAGGCAACTCCTCCGTATAAACCAAGGTTTGTGCCCCGTGTGGTTGTGAAGGGAGAGGAGCGTTCTCGTCCTGCTTCTCCACTCCCTACTGAATGGATGCTTGTGAGATCCGGCAGGAAGGTATGACATTTTGTTTTTGATTGCAGTGGAAGAAAGATGTTTAACTTTAGCTAGTCATCCTAAAAATGTTATATGTGATCTACCTTTGCAGAGGAACCACTCGGGAGAATCAGACTCTTTTTCTGGTTCACCCAAGAAAAGAGTGGTTCATTGCCAGGTGCGTGAGGCTTGCAGCTATGTATAATGTCAATGTCATTGGTTTGGTAATAATTAAAATTTTGGTCTTATAGAGGGACCACACTCCTGTGGCCGTAGCGGAGTGTCCAATCCCGTCCAATCCTGTCCGTTTCTCACCCGCCATCTTGGTTGCCATGGAAACGGTTTCTCCATCGGCCTTTCCAGCTGTTCACACAGACACCGAGGTAATTTGCAGAATACTGCAACAATTAGCAGTGTTATTATTTTCTTTTTAGAAATAACACAAACCTGCAATGTTGTTTGCGATGTTACAGACAAAGCCTGTGGAACAGTCAAAAAAACCAGCTGTCTCAAAGCCCAGGCGTGTGAGACAGAAGGTATGTAAAATCATAAGTTAATTAATGATCTCTAGTGCACATGACTTTATTTAATTTTTTTTTCTCTAGGTTTCAGCTGCATCTCCTGTAACTCCTGCCATAGATGCGGAATTTGTGCCGGCTGAAAACACTGTAAGTGTTTTGCACATTAAAGTTAAATGTGTAGTTAATGAATGTTGAACAGTGTGAAGTGTTTTATTGAAAACATGACATTATATATGGATTTTGTGCAATATCAACTTCATGTTTTGTTTTTTGTTTCATTTATTTGTAGGTCGTACTCAAGCGACCCAGGGTGTGTTTGTCTGACGCGCGTTCTGCCTTTCCTCGTGTGGCGTCTGAGTGTCCTGGAGTGGGGGCTGCCTGTCCTTTGGAGGTTCCTGCTGGCCGGGAGGTTTGTATAGAAATGTCCTGCTATTTGTATTAATAAAAAAATGTTCTCTCAGTGTTGTTCTTTTCATTGTAAAAGTTTCATCACATAATTCAAATCTCTTCCAAATTATTGCCATTGGGTTATGTAATAAATCTGTTGTGCATAAATAAAAAAGCATCAATTTGCAGTCAGGAGAGATTCAAACTTTTAAATGTAGATATTTTTTAAGGCTTACTTTCTGAAGCTGCTAAGCCTGTGAGCAGACTCCGTATAAGCGTAAGAAACTGGATGGTTTGATGTTTTTTGCGAAGACATGTACTAAAAATAATAATTAAGGCTCAAGCGATTGCTCACAATGAATCAATTTCTGAAGTAATTCACAAATTTAGTAAATAGTCATTAACTGGACTATTTTGGGTCAAAAAAGGCCATTTGCTGTAAAGTAAAAACATTTGGAGTAGTAATTTAAGATGCATTGTATGAAAATCAATATTTTTTCCATTTAAGCTAAAACAATAAAAAGAATAATTTCTCTGTTAGCTTTGTAATGTGTTTCATAAGCTTTTGGTAGAGAATCGTTTGATTCGCTACAGCAGAGTTAGACAGAGAAATTTAAAGTTTCTTGTCAGGCAACCATTAGCCTGTGCTAAAAGCCATTACAGGCCAACAATAATACATATTTTAGCTGGAATTTTACTACAATAGTCTTAATTTATTTGGTTTACATATTGTATAAAACAACATTAGCACAATGTGTATATTTTCTTTTCTAATTTTATAGAAATATTGGATAATTGTAAGTTGCAGTTTTGTTAATGATATTACATTTAATGAAAAGCCTTTATCAAATGAGGATGTAGAAATATCATGTTTTTCTTATTTTCCATATTTTCATTGTAGACGCCTGAGGAGATGGGTGATTTACAGCGCGTGCAGACCTCACCCAAAGGTCAGGCTGTTAACCCCGTTCCTTGCAGGTGTTCAAAGGGGCCTCCATCGTCTCTTGTTCCAGGGACATTTTTGGAAATTAATCACTAGTTCTCATTCCTTAATGTCATGTAGTGTTGTAGCTGCAATAAAACACAACATTTCACCCATTTGTACCTGGCAGACATCTGATGTAGATGAAGTCGGTGTAGAAGGTCAGAAGTTGGCGGAATATATTGCACGAGAAAGACCAAACAGGGGCCCTAAGCCAGAGTTGTGTAAATTGGTTGAAGATCAGGCTATTTTTGGTCGAAAGTGGAAAGTTGTAATTGGAGACATGGTGTTTGGGACATTTGGTTTTGAGCAGGAGGAGGAACTGTAAAATATTAAATACGTACTTGTTAAGAGATGGAATGTGTATCCTTAATCTTCATGGTGCAACTATCTTGGTGATCCAGCATGGAGACTATTTTGTTGTTGTGGACTGTGGAACACGGAATTCACAGGGCTTAGCATCAGAATTCGGTACCTCTGTAGTCGTGTTTAACACGTGTTTAAATGATTTAATGATTCACCTTATTAACCTCAGGGAATCATTAAATGCAACTGAGTATGGAGTCTTTCCTATTTCTGTACAAGAGGTGTACAGTAATGTGGACACATGTGCGGCAGTAACTGCTGACACACAGGCTACAAATGCATGCCATAGTGCAAGTAGCCATGTTGCATCACTCAGTGGATCGTTTCATCAGGGGGATGATCGGTTTAAATATGCTGGACTTCAGTGTGCAGCCATAAGTGCTGTTGCTTTAACAAAGCACACACTGGACCGCGTTTTTTCATGGAATGCTGGCATATTGGATGATGTAGTTGTTTTAGGTGATGAGCTATACACATTTTTGCGCGATAACAATTTAATCAGTGGTGGAAGTCAGCTTCTCTCTGTTCCAGACTTGCCTAAAAAGATGCATGTTGATGGACAATGTTTTGAGTATTCTTATGGGGACTATGTTGCTGGGGATGTCGATGTACTGGAAGGAGAGTTTATTGATGCAGGTGTGCACACTAGTCTTTGGGATGGACTCAGTAAAATGTGTGCAAAATATGAAACTAGCTTTATTACAATAAGTGGCAGTACTTGTGCCCTTATCAGTTATAATGGACGTTACGCTGTTGTAGACTCTCATGCACGCAACACTGGCGGCATGGTAGATGCACATGGAAAGAGTGTTGTCCTTTTCTTCAATACTCTTGATGATCTGTTTTTGTACATTAGAAGGTTTTCTGGTGAACTCCATTACTCTCCCAAATTATTTGAAATCAGCGGAGTTCATATCGTTAAGATGGACTCAAGTAAACTTGTATCTGAACATGCAGCTGCTGTACCAGGGAGCAGGTGTTGTTGATCACACCTTTACTAGTGTTGAGATGAAGGACGATTCTTGCGGAGGACATTCATCCCAACTTCACATGTTAGATACGGATGATGTTGATGATGATGTTGTTGTTACTGATTTCCAAAGTAAGGTTTTGTATTTTAACCCCGTTTCTGACGAGATTGCACGATCACTTTGTGGAAAGTTGAATGTAGAGTTTCAACGGGCAAATTCTAAATCTTGCGTGTTTGGGGAATTAGGTGCGCCATGTATGACAGAAAAAATTGTTGGGGATGGAAACTGCTTTTTCAGAGCACTTAGTCAAGCCATCAGTGGCACCCAGAAATATCATCGCAAAATTAGGCTTGCTGTTGTAAATCAGTTGCAAAGGAATTCTCACATGTATGATAGTATTTTAAGAAGTGAGTATTCCTCCATATCACAATATATTGCCATTTCAAGGATGCAATATGTTGGCAGTTGGGCAACAGAAGTAGAGATTAAAGCTGCAGCTGATTATTTTGGTGTTAATATTTTCACATTTTGCAATGATAAATGGCTTGAATATGGTTCTTTCAGTAGTTTGTCCAATCATGGTCTCTATTTGCAAAATATTGGCGGAAATCATTATGAGACGGTTACTTGTGTAAAGCAGCCTCAGTCACAAACATGTCATGGTTATTGCATGAATACAGATGTTTCTGGTGATTTTAAAACTCGGCAAGCTACAACAGAACAAAAAGTTACACGTATAAAGACAGTGAAAACTGACCACTCCATTAAAGAAAAGTGCGTCGATTTTTCAAAAGATAACCAAAATACCTTAGTATTTACGCCCATCTGTGATGTTACTGCTAAAACTCTGTGTAAAAATTTAAAAATAGACTTTGAAGAACATAATTTTCAAAAAGTAACATTGCGTGGGCCTTTGGGAAATGTGTGCAAGACTAAAAGTATTATAAATGACAGTAATAGTTTTTTCAGAGCTGTAGCGTATTCACTTAGTGGTTCTGAGAAAAATCACCGTAAAATTAGACTCGCTGTTATTTCACACATGACAAATAATGCAGAAGAATGCGAAAGATTTTTGGCAAAAGATTGTTCTGTGACAGAATATATTAACCAGTCACAGATGAAGTATGTTGGTCACTGTGCTACGGAAATTGAGTTTAAATCTGCTGCTCAAATGTTAGGCCTGGATATATATGTATTTAATGGCACACAGTGGACCAGATATAATTCAAAAAGTAGTAATTTCACCAATCAAGCAATATATTTGCAGAACTGTGATAAGCATTTTGACGTCGTTACTTGTGCAAAACCAGGTGATGAAGACTGTTGCTTTAAACTTTGTGAAGAAAATGTGTCGTTAAAGACCCAACACAGACGGACGAGGTCTTCACAAGTCCAGAAAAATGCAAAGCAAACTGTTTCAAGCGGTAAAGCAAATTACAGTTTTTCTCTGTATTTACGACAAAAAAAGGATCATCAAAAAACCATTAAATATAGAAATGACATGTTATATAGGCAAAAATTTAAATTTAATAAAAGAAATGCCTATAATAAAAATGTTCTATACAAGGAACAAAAACAAAATTGGATTAGAAATAAATACCATGAGGATAAGACTTACCAAAAAAAGATTAAGCAAATGAGCATTACTAAGTATAATAAAGATATACGTCATCGCAATAAAGTTAAGCAAATGAGCGTTGCTAAATATAATGAAGACATATGTCACCGTGAAAAAGTTAAAGACTTAAGTAGAACAAAATACCTTAATCCACAACATAAGATCCATAAAATATCAAATGTAGAGATAAAAAGACGAGACATTAAAATAAAATTGAAGGAGTTTGATTTTGTTGTTGCGCAATTTTTGACAAGTAAAGAGGGGCCCAATTTTGTGTGTTGCGTATGCTTTCGGTTGTTATTCAAACATCAGGTCTTAAATTGTCACAAAGATTCCTACAGAAAAACTAAAGAAATGTCTTTAATCGCAGATAAATGTATAAGTGATGATTATTTGCATATATGTAGTAATGCATGCGTATCACCGTGCAATCTGCAAACCTGTCGAAATAAGTTGTATATCTGTTACTGTTGTCATCACAAAATTAGTAAAGGTCAAATGCCACCAGAAAGTTCATGCAATAATTTGACTGTTGATGACATCCCACCTCAGTTGGCATGTTTGAATAGTTTGGAGCAACATTTAATAGCTTTACATATACCATTTATGAAGATGTTGGCTTTACCCAAAGGTGGCCAGAATGGCGTGCATGGTCCGGTTACTTGTGTGCCTGCAAATGTTGCTGAAACCTGCAGTTTGCTACCACGTAGTAATATGGAAGGATCTTTGTTGCCTGTTAAGTTAAAGCGTAAATTAACATAAAGGTCATTATGATTATCAATATGTTGACTCAATGCATGTCCAGGAAGCTCTTGGTACTTGAAACATTGTAACTTGCATTATAAAATGTGGAGTTCAATGAATCTTGGATCAATGAGTTTTCTCAGGAAGATAATAATTCTGTTTTAAACAGTAATACTGTTAAAGAAGAAGAAGACGTGTCCATAGATGAAAATGATGATGACCTTTTACATGACAGACAGCAACACTGCATGTTCCAGGACACTTGTCTTATGCCCGTAGATATAGGACAAGAAGCATTGGATTTATATGTTGACAACGTGTTGAATGTAGCACCGAGTGAAAATAATAACCCTATAAAACTGCTTTCTGATTGTACTAATGAAGCAAAATGTTTCCCTGTATTGTTCCCATCAGGTTTTAACACATACCATGAAACGCGGCAATATCGTTTGACTTTGAGTCGTTATTTTAATAACAGGCTTCTTCATGCTGATGGTAGATTTGCACGTAATGTGGAATATATATTCTTTGCTCAGTACATGTCAGAACTGGAGCAGGTTGTCTCTAAAGTGTCAATAGCTTTACGTAAAGGCACAAGTTCTACACCTCAAAATATGACTGAGGTTCTGAAGAATGACCAGTCTATAAATAAGTTGTTGGAGTTTGATGATGGGTATCGTTTCTTGAAACCCATTCGAGGCACAGCTTTCTGGCAGACGGCTCAACGCGACTTGCTAGCTTGTGTTAGAATGTTGGGGAAACCCACATGGTTTGCCTCGTTTCTTCTGCAGATATGAGATGGACTAATCTGCTTTATAGCATCTTAAAGCAGGAAGGCCGAATGGAGACTTTGGAACAGTTGCAATGGGCAGATAAGTGTGAATTGTTGCGTCGAAACCCTGTTACTGCTGCTAGAATGTTTGATTTTAGATGGCATGTTTTTGTAAGAGAAGTTCTCATGTCTCCTGCTAATCCCATTGGAAAAATCGAAGATTACTATTATCGTGTCGAATTCCAGCAACGTGGCTCTCCTCATTGCCATTGCCTTTTTTGGATTGCTGGTGCTCCAATTTTAGATAAAAATACAGATGAAGAGGTTATTGCATTTATTGATGAGTATGTTACATGTGAAATTCCATCTGAAGAAGATGCGTTGTATGAAGTAGTTACATCTGTACAACAGCATTCAAAACGACATTCAAAAACTTGTAAAAAGAAAAAAACTGTTTGCCGTTTTAATTTCCCTCGGCCTGCATCTTGTCGCACTTTTATTTGTCGTGGCGAAAAATATCAAGATCCAGTCAACACTTGTAAATGCAATTTGGATAAAATTGATGGTAGTGCTGATTGTGAATGTC